AAGCAAGCAGAATAAACACTTGCTACCTTACTATTCCCATTTCTAGTTTAAGGTGAAAACAAACATAGTGCAACATTTTCTTCCCGATTCCTGTTTCTTGCTTGCTTCTTTCTATTATTGTTATTTGAATGAACACTACAAATTGTGAATTCATGAACCATTGATGGCACCCACACCAATTTCATCTCACTGAAGTGGTTTGAGTACAGCGGTGCTGTAGTTTTAACCCTGCAATGTAAACGTTGTAGTTTTGTATAAACTGCTAAATTTACATTGCTGGCTTTAACACACCTCTAGTGGCTCTTCCTGACAGAACACTCAGCGCCTCCTCTGCAACGACAAAGTTTTAATTGGACATGTGATGTTCGATGTCTATGAAGAAATTGAATGTCATCAAATGCAGCTAATAGGGAAGCATTGGATTCAATGCTTCCCTACGAAAAGCATTTGATTGGATCACCAACTCTATGAGGGGCATTGGATTGGACAAGAAGCCAGGAAGTGACATATCCAACATGACTTCGCAAGGAGTGGGTGGCAGCAACGAGTAAGAATTGTAAATTAAAACCTTTTTTTCACCCAGTCTTGATTTAATTTGGGACGGGGACTTGCATCCAACTATTGAGGATAATACTGCAGCATTAGGAAAACGTTTGATATCCTAACGCCATAGTTTTCATTTCACTACAATGACTGAAGAAAGTGTTTTATTTATTCTATTTGAAGTAATTTTCCAAATTAGTAAAGTCAGTTGTCAAACCGCCTGAAGTGTACAGTGAAAAAAATATAACACTAGCATTGAAGCATATTACACAGGCCAAAGTAAAACAAAAAGCGATTGTCCCATGGTGTCTGCCTATTTTCCTACGTAAGCAAAATGTAATTTTAATACAATTCTCAGCAGCATAGTTTATCTCAGAATGTAATGCACGATGACAAATAGTTTTCCTCTGAATTGCAGAAGTATGCTGGGTTGGAATCCTCCAGTGTTGATGTAATCATTCAACAATTATGCTCTGTGATGTAATCCTTGAATGGTTAATAAGCCTGTAATCGGTCACTGCTCATAAAAAGTTGGCAAACCTCCAATGGTGGAATTCAAATGAGTTTACCAGTCGGAATTTTTCAAAACAAACATTGTTGCGCGGCTGTGTGTGGATTGCAGAGTAGAAAAGGAAATGACAGCAACATTGTCTGATATTCCAGCGCAGTTATCGCAGCCATAAAATCCAAGCTCACTTTCATTTCTAACTTGTCACAGCCTAATGTGATTCAGCGTAGAGAAAAGGTTTGCAAATAGGTCTGTGATGCAACAACATTACATCACTGCTCAGGCATCTACACATGAAAAATGTCAAGACTATATAAAGATTATTCAACTGCTGGAACTATGAGATTAACTCACTAGTGGGAATGAAGTTTTAGAGCCTTAAAGTAACACTGTCATTTTTTTTTTTTAATTTCAGATTTCTTTTCCCTATTCCCCTTTGTGTCTTAATGGTTACACCCTTAAACTTTATTGCTTGCACTAAATTTCAATATCCGTATACCACAATTTTGTTCTCCAGTCCATGATGTGAATTGTTTGCCCTTCTGTGGGATTTATTGTACTGATGGATTGTGGGTAAATTAGCTGAGCAATTGAAATTTAACTTTACTTAGGCTCTGGCCATTACCAGGGCTTCGAATAAATTCTATATAATTGCCATAGTAATCTACATAATCCCTAACCTGGACTAAGGCAGGCATTACACATGTCCACCAACTATTATCTGTCTCTCAGGTTAAACTATTTATAGATCTACAGAGAGAATTTCCAATCCCACACAAGGAACTATTTACCTTTATTAGAATAAAATATATCTTAACTACAGATGCGAACCTGGTAAAGATCTCCTCCCGGCGGTCTCCGAACTGTAAACTGTGCATGGGCATTGGAAGCAAATGTAGACCATTATGCATTCCTCCTTGCGCTTGCTCATACACCAGAAAAACTTCCTTAGATGCTCAAATGGGAGCAGGAGCTTGGAAAGGTTTTCTCACAGAATCAGTGAATTAGGGTGGTGTCAAATGTGTGGGGTATCCCGCAGCGGTGTCAAATGTGTGGGGTATCTCACAGTATCAACCAGTGGAAGAATCATAGGAAACTTTTGCTTTGTTGGTATTTGGTACCACAAAGGTTGGCACGTATATTCCCTGCCTCCTCCCTGAACTTCTGGCGGTGCAGTGGGGACATCAGATCCTTTTCCCATATCCATTGGCACTGCTCCAATCATTCTGGCAACAGATTCAGTTCCTAATTAACCCCTCAAGGACCAAACTTCTGGAATAAAAGGGAATCATGACATGTCACACATGTCATCTGTCCTTAAGGGGTTAAATAGTTACTCTTGCGCTTGATCCAGAAACATTCTTGATAGATATGCTCCTGACACTCCACGGTCCCCAATGGAAAATGTCTATGCATGTGATGGTGACAGCAAAATTGTTTATAGCACACCAGTGGAAATTGGTGACTTCGCCCTCTATTGCCATGCTAGTGGAAACAACAACATTGTTGAGCTATATGAAGCTATGACTCATAGGCTGTCTAGTATAATCTCAAAGCATGAAGAGGTGTGGGCTTCGTTGGCACAAAAAGAACAAGCTACCTCAAACTAGTACCTTAACAAGGTGTAATAACTGCCTGTCTTATTGTTAAAATATTGGAAAACACCAAATACCCTACAGTGTTGTAAATTATAGCTACCTTTCAATCACCTATCATGCCTAAGCTATATATCTTCAAATGCAATGCACACTGTTATATCTAATGAACATAATAGTCTATTAGATAGGTGAGGGGTTAGTGCCCCATTTGCACTATTTCTAATACGTTCAAGCAACAAGTTTGATTTCTGGAACAGTCAATTTAACCTTCCATGTTTAGTAAATGTGATTATCACATGCCTCCCAACTGTCCCGATTTTGGTGGGACAGTCCCAAATTTCTTTTACCACCGTCCTGCCTTAGTACCCTGGTGTCCCGCTTTTGGGGATACCAGGGAACTGTCCCTAACATTCATAGCATTAAGCCAAGGGTGGGGCTGTTCTGAGAAATGTTAGATGATCTACTAATAACAATTCATGCAACTAAAATGTTGTTTAGAGCAAGACCAATACATCTTACTTAAATAGACTGGTTTCTAAACACATGTATTGTACTTTAAAGACACATTACTGTGAACGTTATTGCTGTGGAACACAGTCAGACACACCAATAGCTCCTAGAAAAGAGCATCATTATGATAGAAAAGAGAGACAGAGGGATATGAGCAAAGGACAAGGACTGTCCTTCCTAAATATAGGCACTTGCGTGGCAGACCATTGCTTTTCTATATATTCTGTGTCAATGCTTATTCTGGTATAGACCTGGTGCTTTGCTTTGCTGTCTTGTTTGAAGTTTAGCTAAGCCAAGCACAGGATTATGACATCACATGGACTGTAACAAAGATTACTATAGCAGTTTGTGCTTGCTGATGCACAAAACTCTGTTTCTATAGCAGATAGACTACCAAAAAGGTCTGGTAAAACCAGATGTGTGAGGAGGGGGCTCTGATAATTTTATTTATTTATTTACTTATTATTTTTATTATGGAGCCATACTTTAAATACATCTTAAAGGAAAATGTTTGAAGAATAGGATCAGGTAAAAAAAGGTAATTTGAATAAAGCAGGGTATTTATGTAGCTAGAGAAGATGGGTAGTTGGGGATAATAAATTAATTAATAGCCTGGTAGAGAACAACATTAGGGGTATTATCAGATTTAAATATTCAGTGAGGGCTGTTGGGAGAGCTGAAAAACATCTGGTGATATATTGTGGGTGGGGGCTTTTAGAGATGAGCATAAATGTTATAAAAGCACAGTTACAAAAGTTGATTAGTCAGTGTCATATAAAATGCCTTTTATAGGCCTATACTCTAATAAATTAACTCCTTTATAACAGATGGCTTGCCAGAGCAGTCACAATGTAAAGCTTTCTCTAAACCATTGCTACAAAGGGGTTAAAAGGCCATACTCATTAGACTAGAAACATTGCTGGACCATTTTAACCAATACTGGATTTTATTTCATAATTAATTGAATTCATTTAATTCTCTATGTACTGTAAATATAGAGGCAAAGCGAAATATAAAAAAAAAAATGTAAATCAGATCTCATGAACTATAGAAAGCAACTAATGACATTTGAGCTACAATTGGGCAACTAGCCCGTGTGTTAAAGGCATACATTTGTATGTACTTGCGGTTCATCTTGTTGCATTTAAAAAAGTTCTTTCCAGTTATTCGTGTGTGCTTTACAACCCCAGGGTATATGCTGTTATATACTGTATATTGCTGCCACAGTTCTTACTACACTCATCTGTATTTTATTGGAACGTATATTTATGATCTGATTTGTCCATGTCTTATTACTGGATTGCTTTTGTTTTGTACTCTGACACTCTGCCTATCTGCT